GGATTTTTTTTTGGAGTAGCTTATAAAAGCAGCTGAATTTTGGAGATTTTGATAAGCCAGTGAATGACATACCCATAGCTTGAAATCAGCCCTTGCAAGTAAGTTTCCACCATAGGAATTGGCAATCAAGAGCCCCTAGAGCCCCTTTTGACCCCGTTTCAGAGAAGCAGTTAATGGACACTTTGTGGCACCCCACTGAGTGTGAGTAGCCCAGAGAAGTAAAATGTGTTTTCTTCTCTCATCCATCTCTGATAGAGGCTGCAGGGTCAGACAAGTTCTGCTATGAAAAGCTGAACACGGAAGGCACTGAGAAGGGTAACTGTGGCAAGGATGGAGACCGATGGATCCAATGCAGCAAACAGTGAGTGGACACCCTGGGGGCAAAGCAATTGCACTCCCAGGCTGATGCAAACACCAAGAGAACAACAAAAAAAAAAAAATAGGGAGTTGTGGCTGCAGTATATACCTGTATGAAACTGTCACAAGATTAATAAAATGTATTCTGTTAAAAATAAAACATAGATACATGTGAAAAGAAGAAAAAAAACATAAAACAAGCTATAATGCCGTGGATATTCTTTTATATGTGACCTAGTGTATATTGTGTCTATCTCCCTAGGGCATGTACTTAGCAAAACAACTGCCAGGTCACAGGGATACATATTTGAATTGTCATCAGATGACATCAAATCATTCCCTAAAAAGGGTTGTGCTCTAGGAAACCCTCCCATGATGTGTGCTATTCTCACCAACACTTGATCTCGCCATAATTTCTTTTCTTTTCTTTCTTTCTTTTTTTCCCCTTTTGTCAGTTCTGGAGTGTGTGGACTGCTATCTTGTCATGGTTTTAATTTGCATTTCTCTAGTTCCAAGTGGAATTTAGCTCATTTCCATGCAGATTTCCTTTTTAGTGATGTGACACTTCACCTCTTTGCCGTCATCTTGTATGAGTCATTGTTTATTGAACAGCTAGGCTGGAGGTAGAGGTGTTCTCATGACAGGTGAGTCATCTAATAACGCCATCAAAGATCCGGATGAATACCTGCCCTTCTGCTGTGTGATCCTTACTGTGTTGGCTTTTAAATTCTTATACTAGTGAATTCGTGGCTGCAAGTGGATGAAAACATCACATATTCAAAGGCAGATCATCCGGGGGGTCCAACCCTTCCAGCAAGTGTGATCTGGCCTTTCCTCACATCCATTTCTGAGCGGGCTGTGCTGTTCTCAGTCCTAGAGTGGAGGGGAGGGGGTGCATAGGACAGAGGATGTAGGGGACAGGAGTGCTGCTACTGGCTTCTTTCTGGCCTTTCTTTCAAGGGTGCGTACTTTGTGAGTGAAGCTCTGGTCCCTTAGGCAAGGAGTGTCATAGTTAACTCGTAGGGTCTGAGTGCTTTTATTCTGCAGTGAAGAGAATATTGAGAAATTTTAGGATGGGAGATAAGGCGCCATAGTAGATTGCTTGCTTAGTTCTGAGCCAGAACCAGACTATGGTAAAAATGAATGTATGTTCAGTGAGAGTTGTGGGTTGTTGAGCTGGATTCTCCCTGTCTTCTGCCTCTGAAACCCTTGCAGTGACGTGTTCTGTGGATTTTTACTGTGCACCAATCTTACTCGAGCACCAAGGATTGGTCAACTTCAAGGAGAGATCATCCCGACGTCCTTCTACCATCAAGGCCGAGTCATTGACTGCAGGTAACATAGAAGTCAGGAGAGGAGAGTTTGATAATCACAGATTTCAACCAAGCAGAATCTGAAAACACCAAAGATTTAAGATTTTCCAGTTTCCTGTTTTCTTTTTATATGGAAAATGACTTTTAAAAAGTAGTGTATTGATTTGTAAATCACACTTGCCCAAAAATGAAGTAGTTATCAGTAGTGAGACCTTTTTCCAGACCACAATTATGTTACAAGTTATGCCCCATACCGCCTAAGCTCGAGATTAGAAGTCCTCAGGTTTTAGAACATTTGCATGTACCTAATGGTGGAGCATAAGGATGGGATCCAAGACTATGTATGGATTTGACTTATGTTTCAGTTATACCCTGTACACACAGACTGAAGGAAATTTAAAAACATTTGTGTGTCTCTTTGATTAGCATAGTAACTGTGTATATTAACAAAGTTTCCTGAAATACCTCCGCACAAGGGTACAGCATGAATTAATTCTGTACACCCACACTACATACTCTCAACCTCCCTACTCTTCACTATTCTCCTGTTCAGCAAACTTTTAAGTTTATACATGTGTGAGATGGTGTATTGTGCCTATCTTTCTGTGTGCAACTCAGTTCACAAATATTCTGAAAATGATAGGATTTTATTCTTCCTTGTGGCTAAGTGATAATCTGTGATGCACACACCATATCTCCTATATATCCATTCCTGCTGGCGAGTTGATTGATTCTATACCCTGGCCAATGTGATAATAGCACAATAAACACTTGGTAGTACTATCTAGTATTTAAAAGAAACACCCACATTGTTCTCTTGAAGACTGTACTAATTTACACGCCTACTCAGTGTATTACAGTTCTTTTTTTTTTCTGTTTACTCTAGTCAGTGTTTGGATTTTTTTAAAATGATGGTTACTTTAAGTAAATTGAGATGGCATCTTATTGTAGGTTTGAATTGCAGTTCCCTGAATCATATTGAGCTTTCTTATATTTATTGGCCATTTATATTTCTTCTTTTGAGCAGTGATTTTTACCCAGTACTTTCAATGTGTCTGCATTTTAAGTGTGACTGTACTTTAATTGGACATTTTCACTCGTCCTGTCAATACTCATAAATTTTCAGATTTTGGAACATTTCTGAGTTCAGCATTTTGGATTAGGAACACTTAACCAGTATTCATTTTACCCCTGATTAAAATTTTTGAGCATTGGAATGTATCACTATTTGAATACTGTGTGTTTTATTTTTTATTGTAAGTCCAGTTGAATCAGTATTTTATGTTGCGTGTATTTGGTTTAGATATTGACCTAACAAGAACCAAATCACAGGCAGAAAATAGTTATTAAAATATAGTGTGTTAATGTCAGCAAAAAATACCTTTTATTCTTTTCTCCCTGTAGACAGCATCTGCCTTTTATTTTCACTGTCCCAGAACTCCAAACCATTTTTTTTATGGTAGTGAATAAATGTTGGAAATTATCTAAGAGTAATTTTGCACAATTGGATAATGCTGTCTTGGTCAGATAAGTGCTATTTTTCCATCCTGTTAAATGACTCTGAGGTAATTCTAACGAGGCCTTAGGCAGAAAGCTCTTCCATGGGATACATCTGTATTTTTGTATCTAGTACCTTCTACGTACACAACGATTTTTCAGTGTATACATTCTCACATGTCTTGTTACATTATATGTCTATATTACAAACAGCCATATTTGTCAAACATTCAGCAATGTTCTCTGTTAGTAATTACATCATTAATTATCATTCCGATTCTAAGTTCCCCTAATTTTGGAACATAAGAAGTATACAGAAGTAATGAAGACCAGGCCTGACTTTATCTTTTTAATTGTGATAGATAAATCCTTTGGGGTAATAACAATTTTCAAAGACCTTATTTTGATGTTTTTGCTAACCATTATTTCCCTCCCATACTGCCTTTTCCCCACAATGCCTTGGAGAACCAAGGACATACTTTCTTCTTGTCTTCTTACCAAACACCTTTCACTTAGTCCTAATATTGGAAACAACAGAAGAGTTAGAATGTTTCCTGGCAATAATAGTTGTTCCTGATGATGTGTGTTATAATGATAATGAAGAGTAGTTTCTTTCTGGCATGCTTATTAAAGATAGGTGGGAAGGAGAAGGAGACTTGGAAAACCCCTGTTAGCTGTACCCTTCTCTTCTGTTTCATGAAGTCTTGTTTGTGCTGCCTCAGTGTTGTAGGTGTGGTGGTGTTAATGCTCATGTGGATCACTCTCTGCTTTCAGTGGTGCTCACGTAGTTTTAGATGATGACACAGATGTGGGCTACGTAGAAGATGGGACTCCATGTGGCCCATCCATGATGTGTTTAGATCGGAAGTGCCTACAGATTCAAGCCCTAAATATGAGCAGCTGCCCACTTGACTCCAAGGGTAAAGTCTGTTCGGGCCATGGGGTAAGTAGACAGCAGTGTTACAGCTTAACTCTTTTTAATCTGAGATTCTGAATTCACAGTGACAAGACAGCCAGATACAGCCATTTCTTACTGATGCTGTGGACAGTTTCTATGCCCCATTATCATCATTTTCTCCGTACCTTTACCTGCTAAAATAATTATTTATAAATTAGCTTGGTTTTATTTTGTTATTTCTCATATCGTTATTGGTTATTTGTGTTGAGCACATTCTCCAGATAATACTTGACATCTGTGTTAGTCAATAATCTATAGAAGGATAAATATCCTATCTACCCACCAATCTATGTACCTAGCCTCTATCTCTCTAAGAAGATTTATTATGAATAATTAGCTCCCATGATTATGGAAGCGTCGATGCCCACTGTTTTGCTGTTTATAAAATGGAGAGCTATGGAAGCCATTGGTGTGATTTGTTCTGAGTCTGTTGACATGAGAATCGGCAGAGCTGGTGTGCATCTGTGTACTAGGGCTGGCGAAGATTAGACGAAGCGTCGCAGCTCAAACTCTGAAGAGAGAAAAGAGGTTGAATTCCCCTTCCTCCTCCTTTTGTGCTTTACCCAGGCCCTGTTGGGAGTGCAATCAGCTCTGTGGAGTTCATGCATTCAGATTTTTCTCTCGTCTGGAAATGCTTTCACAGACACATCCAGAAATAATGTTCAATTGGGCACCCCACTGCCCAGTTAACTTGGCACATGAATTAGCCATCACGACGTCTTAGAAGTTGGAAGAAAAATGACATGGTTCCTAAGGGCCTATAGATTCTGTGTCTGTATTTTTTTTAAATAGCACAAAACAGTGTAAGTCATATTAGTGATTGACTTTCCTCTGAGATCACACAGTCAGGAGAGTGGATCGAAGATGATTGGCATTCTTCTAAAGATGTTTAGATATGCTTGGGCTGTTTTCACCCACCCACCCCCAGAAAAAGATGCTGTCTATATCCAAACCTGCGTGAGTCTTTAATTTTGTGACCAAAGTGTCTGAAAATGTTGTCTTTCCTAAAAAACCTAAGTTTAACAACGACAATAATAATAATACCCAGATTTTAACAGTGATTTTAGATTGGGTTTACCAAAATGAAGGCATTTCAAAATTTATACAGACTTCAGAAATTTGAAAAAAATGGGCACAAAGAATCAGAGCAGTAACAAAGAGAGAGAGAGAGAGAGAGAGAGAGAGAGAGAGAGAGAGAGGTTTTGGAATGAAGGTAGAAGGAACCCAGCATAGAGAGATAGGCAGGTGATGCCAAGTAGAACAAGGTATGGATAGGCCCAGGAAGCTTCTCTCGTGATGACGTTTGGCTGAGTAGGCTTACAGGGAGGCTGTGTGGCCTGGTGTGTTAGTCACTCTGCTTGTTGATATGACAAAATACCTAACATAAACAACTTCAGAGAGGAGAGGGTGGTTTGGATCATGGTTCAAGGACACAGTCCAGCATTACGGGGAAAGGTGGAGGTACTTAGCTGTCTTCCCCCTTTTTATTCAGTCAAGGACCCTATTCCATGGGATGGTACAGTGGTCCACATTCAGGTTGTGCCTTTTCCCTGCAGCTAATCCTTCTGGAAACACACTCAGAGACACCCCCAAATGTTTGCCACACTCATGTCCTAGGTGTTTATTATAACACTGAAGTTAGCCATCCTATCTGGCAACTTAAGAACATGGGATCAGGGGCTGGAGAGGGCTGTGGATTTAAATCCTGGCTCTACTTCTTGACATCTCAGTGAGTCTGGGTAGGTACTTACCCTCTCTCATCCCTTAGGTGCTGGTGTGAGGAGTAAATGAGAAGCTTTTCATCAAATTCTTCGCAGAGGAACTTGACACATAATGAGTGTTCAGCAAAATTGCTATGTAAAATAAAATCACCAGGCAGACTTTTTAAGCATTTTAGTTATTGCTCTAAAAGTATGAGACATAAAAAGCTCTTTTCTGCTTTCTTTTTTCCCCTCTCATTTTCACCATTTTTTAAAAAAGCAAAGTTCAATCTTATTAATCATAATCATATACCAAAGCATCTCAGATTTAAAAGCTTTGGCATTTGATTTTATCATTTCTAATGATAAAAGGGTCTCGGCACCTTTCTTTCTAGTTTGCAGAGGGCTTTATTTGATTCATGTAAATTGGAAGCCCATGCCATTTGCTGCTTGATGGAGAGCTTCAGCCTGCTGACTGGGAAAGGATGACTCCATAGATGGCAGGGAGGGTGGGGCAGTGCTTATTGGGCAGGCAAAGTGCCAGCGAATGAGTTAGGCATGGTGAGGACATGCAGTGTGCTAGTGTTTCTTGGTCTTTTATCTTGAGGTTTGCTCACTGGAAGTGTTAACTTACTGAATAAAACATTTATTTTTTTCATGAATGTTCCTAGAGACTTTTGCTTTGAAAAAAAAAAACTACCTTATTGGACATTTACATATCTAAATAATCATAAATAAGACCATTTTAAAAAGTTTTCTTCATCGTAATTATTATTTTTCTATAATTATCAGAAAACATGTTCAGTAATTTGACCAGTGAACCCAGTCCTGAAAGCCATGGGAAAGTTTAGAAGCCTTCTAAATGACTTTGAAAGATCCCTTGTACACCCTGCCTCTTAGACTGTGTTTACCATTGATGGTCCATAATATTGCATCTCTCTTCTTTTTCCTTCCCAGGTGTGTAGTAACGAAGCCACCTGCATCTGTGACTTCACTTGGGCAGGCACGGACTGCAGCATCAGGGATCCAGTGCGGAACCCCAATCCCCCAAAGGACGAAGGACCTAAGGGTTTGTGTGATTTCAGTTTTACACCATTGCAGACTCTTTTTTCATCTGCACTCTCCCGCTGCAACAGTGCCACGCTTCCATGCCTTTGGAAGGAGACACACCAGAATATGTCATTTTGCTGGGAAGTTGCACAGTTCCGTGTATATCACCTTTTCCAGAGCACATTTAAGTTACCTCTTAGCCTAGAAGTGAATTAAGAAAAGAAAAATGTACTGACTTCCTTTAATCCGGTTTCTTCTCTGTCCTTTAGACTTTATACTTTTCCCCACTCTCCCCAAAGCTAATTATTTTACACACTGTTCCATTTCTGAATAGATGCAGTCTTTGGGGCCGACATAAGAGGTTTTTTTTTTTTTTTTTTTTTTACGGTCCTCAATATAGCATTCTCTCCAGAGGAAAGTTGTAGTCCTTTATTCCCCCATTTTAAAAAAAAATTCTTTTGATTTGGTCTAAGAATCACTTCTTCAGATAGCTTTAATTTTTCAAAGGAAACTAAAAAGTCTGCAGCTTTGTTCTAGGCAGCCACCATGAGAAGAGGGAGACCAGAATTTAGCATAATGAGTCTGTGGCAGTTCATAGCCACCATGTGATATCGAAAATGAGAATTCTCTGGCCCTGAGGTCAGGTGACATACCCGTTACCTAGGCAACCAGAGGCCAAACTGGGAGCTTGCTTGCTTCTGTTACATTATTTTATAGCATTGCCTATGTAAAAACGAATATGACAGTCATTTTCTCATTATTCTCCCCGCTCTCACCCCCTCCATTGATTCTCAAGGATCTTGAAAAACTGTCAGTTACAATGGGCTTCATGTAGCATCCAAGTCTCTAGTACCCGAGAAAACAAACAATTGCTAGTACCAGTTTTGACATTTGATCACGGCGTTGTACCTTGGCATCTTTTTTAATGGTGCTGTTAATAGTATTCTATAAATTGACTTCCATCCCCCCCAACCCCTTGGCAAGCAGGAAAATGCACATAGGACTAGCATTGAATTGATCACCTTTGTTTTGATGGAAGTTCATTTCAACTCTGTGAATGGCAGTGCGGTCTGTGTGGGAAAACAGGCCCCTCTCAGAGCAGATAAAGCTCCCTAGACTACTGTTACTGAAAAGATGTAGCCGCGTTTGGATGTATGTGAGTTGTTCCATAACAGTGGGTGTGTTAAAAACACCCTCCATTCCTTTGTTTAATACGCCCAGGATATTAAAATTCTATAAGAATAATTACCACACCCACACAGTCTATTTCTGTTTTCCCTGTTTTTAAACGTGAGCCTACTCCACTTTTACATTCAGTCTTTTGTTACTTTAAAACTAGAACAAAACACTTTTGGATCCACCTTCAGAAGTTAGATTCGGAGGTTTAAGCCCTGACAAAAGAAGCGAGCTTCTGCCTCCAGACCCTCTGCACAGCGCAGCTATGACTTTCAAAGATGCCCTGTGTTTCTTCCTTCCTTCTGTGACACTTAAGCATTCTTGTACGCCGACAGAGCTTTTTTAGATTCCGTCCACGTGTTAAGTCGATGGGGCTTTATTAACTGTTTCTGTTTGCCGTTTCTTTACCCTCTCTCCCACTAAGGAAAGTCGAACTTAGAGCCATGGCGCAAACAGTCACTCTCTAGAGAGGAGAGTGTTTGCAGTTGTCATTTTTTCTCACCCAAGACAGGGTTTCTCTGTGTAGCTTTGGAGCCTGTTCTGGCACTTGCTTTTGTTTGACTTTGTCCCATCTTATGAGGTGGCAGTCTTTACTGTATTTAAGGAAATAGCCCCCCTTTTTTGGTAATTCAAATCATACATGTTTACTACAGAAAATAAGTATTTATTTTAGGAAATACAAGAAAGGAATGAAAAAAAACAGTAAAAATTATGCATCGCTCCACAGCACAGAGGTGATTAGCATGTTTATTCAGGCTGATCCCTTTCTGGTCACATGTTTTCCTTTTTTTTTCCTCTCACTGAAGGCAGCAAGTCGTAGGGGCAAGCTGTCTATAAAGTGCTCAAAATCAGTGAGAATTTCTAATAATTTTGTTAAGCAAAAATGTCATTATTTAACACAAATGAAAACCAGTTGTTTTGTAAACAAATGTCCAGGTAAAGTAGTCAATTTTAGTACAATTAAATAATAGCTCTATTTGGGGGCTGGAGAGATGGTTCAGTGGTTAAAAACACTTGTTCTTGCAGAAGATCTGGCTCAGTGCCCAATACTCCATGGCAGCTCTGGTTCCAGGGGATCCAGCACCCTCTTGTGACATCTCTGGGAGTACGCATGCATGTGATATACATATATGCATGTAGGCAAAAAACACACATAAAACAAAATAAATAAATCTATAAAAATTTAAATAGCAGCTTGATTAGCTGTTTGTATCTCTTAATATTCTAGGGAATATGCTAGTAAAATGAGAAACAACAGAAATGAGACATTCTTCAACTTTGTAAAATGAGAAACAACAGAAATGAGACATTCTTCAACTTTGTTGTCAATTTTTATAATTTTAGTCTTTATAATCTCTGTGAAAAGAAAATGAAAGAGAGATGCGTGCCCTTGACCCTGGCCTTCACCCACTTAAAAATACATATTGTCTGCCCAGTATTTTAAGGGAGCATGTGCTCTGAACCTAGTTGATATTCAGTAAATATCCCATCCCCTGCCCCTGGGGATATGTAAAGGAAGTGGTATGGCCACATAATCCCAAGAGTCAGGAGGCTGAGGCAGGAGGATCATCTCAAATTTGAAGATCTCCTGCTCTATTACATAGGAAGTTCCAGGGCAGCCAGGAAACAACAAGACAAAATACACCAGCAAGAAGGAAAGTGGCATTTAGTGCTGATTTTCCACTTATGCATATTCATTTGTATGAAGTCAAAGTCTCTGTGCAGTATACCATACTTTCTCAACTGTTGGTTCTGCATAGGTGCCAAGCGTCCCTCAACAGCTGCGTACCATATCACCCTTTTCATCATTCAGTGGGTTTGGCTGCACTTGCTCTGCCTTCCCAAGATGCTGTACATAATGAGCAGCATGGTCTGTCTGGCCAGTCATGTCTCCAGGTAGATGTGGCAAGAACATGCTGTGCATTATAGGCAGACATGGTGGTATCTGCCTGTGATCTCAATACTTGGGAGGCTGAAGCAGGAGGATCTTAAATTTAAGGCCAGCCTGGGATACGTAAGTATTTCAGAACAGGCTAGCTAATCAGACTGTCCATAAAACCCAAAGAAAATAAAACAAATCCAAAACCTACCTATCTCTGCTTAATTGTATTCTCCTGAAATGGAGAAAAATCTAAGAAGCATAATGAAAATATTGCCTTTTTAATCGTGAACTTGGCACGAAAGATTGGTAGAAACCCACTGTAGCCCTTTGGATCAAGACCATATTAGAATAGGTAGATTCTACAGCTCCCTTTCTACTGAGTTGAGAATGTCAGAAATGGACTTATTTATTTTGGATATCTTGAAAATTAATTCCCAGAAGATCATCAGGTCTGGGTAGAGTCTTAACATGAATACTGTATAGTCATTGACTTTCTAAGGGTATCTATGATGGACCCACAGTACTGTGGTTAAGTTATTCCTTCCAGATCTCAAACCACGGACAGTTGAGAAAAATCTCGATACCTAGAAGGCATGTGGACTAGGATTTCCTTCTTTCCTCCCTGCTCTCCTTCTTTCTGCACCCCTTTTCTCTCTCCTCTCCTCTCCTCTCCTCTCCTTTCTCTTCTCTCTCAGTGGAACGCAGGGCCTCAATGCATGCTTAGCAAGTTCTACCTTTGAGCTTTATTTCCAGCCCTCTGGGAAAGGATTTTCAAAAAAAAAAAAACAAAAAAAACCTATTTAGTATTACACATCATCCATCCCTGTGACACCGTTGATTCTATATGTGAAAGCCTTTGGAGCTACTCTTTCAACTTGTTTCTCTGGAGATCACTGAAAGGAATTATTTCTCTTTGTCATGCAAGAATAGAATGTCCTCCAGTTTGGTTTGAAAGAGTTTCCAGGGACTGAGGAGATGGCTCTGTGGGAAAGTGCTAGCCTGAAGACCTGAGTTCTGCTCTAGAAGAGCTATGGTGAATGTCAGGTTCAATGAGAGACCCTGCCTCAAAAACTAAGGTGGAGAAGTGACTGAGGAAGATCCTGCTGCAAACTTCTAGCCTCTACATACATGTACTCACTCTTCATGCACACCCGTATTTGCATGTACACGTGAACACACACACACACACACACACACACACACACACACACACACACAGGGACGGGGGTTGTTTCTACCTTCTAGAAGGAGAGCCATGCCCATTCATTTTTATTCATTTGTATCCACTTTGCTAAGTGCATATTGTGGACTATGATAGATTTTTCTCACTTGATGGCTACCACGCCATCACTATGACAAGAGAAAAGAGAAGAAAAGTGGGCTATATCACTTTCACTGACTTATATGGGCAGGGATAGTATTCCTAGGAAGGAAGGTTGGGTCAGACCCTGTAATGAAGACCGTGGTCTTCGTTAAAAGATAGAGATAGAAAATTAAAATTAGAGATAGAAAGGACCTTAACGGCAATTCTTCCAGACCTGCTGCTTCGCAAACGGGAAAAATAATTATCAGTGTTAAGAGATAATTAAATAAAATGTGATCACACGAGCTTAACCTCAGTGCCTTTTCTGCTACTGCGGCATTTAAGGCAGAATGCTAAGCCCTTCTGCTAGTTCTTTGTGCATTATAAGAAGAAGGAATGACGATAGCCTGGCAGCGATTAAGCCCATTAGGGGATCCATTACTTGCCAGCAGTGCTTATTATGGCTCTGAAGAACCGAGATCTATCATTAGAGTTTAGAATTTCGAGAACAGTGACTTCTAAATGTTTTCAACATACTAGATACTATTTATTGTAGCTTTTGCATATAGCCTTTAGGTGGCTTTCATATGACAAACCTTTGATTTTGTAGTTCAAATCATTGAAGGATTCTCATATGTGAGTACGAAGTGTTATGTAT